AAAAAGTTAAGAGTCTAAAATGTAACTAAGTTAAGTTAAAATTATTTAACTTTTCAACTTTTTAACTTAACTTTTAGCTTTTTAACTTGGCACTACCCAACTCTGTAGATAATTACATTATATGTGATAAAATACCTTCATTTCATCAATAGTAGCTGGCATAAAATCTTGCAACTCTGCTTTATTATGCAAAAATATAACATGTGGATAATATTCTACATAATCTTGGTCTATGACTGTTGTTGAGGACGGTTTTAACATTTCTGCAGTTTGCAAAAATCTATAAGAAAAATAGATACTTCATTATATATTGTAAATTTTAATAACAAAAAGTAGTTATATATTAATAAAATTAATAAACACTTTTATTACAATATTACCTCACTAAATTTGGATCGACAAACCAATCTTGTACAAATATAATAACATGACACACTGAAAATAGGAATGCTGCAAACTGAAGTGATTGTAATTCCAAATTGGAATCACTATTCATAAAATCAGGTGCACCTTTTTTCTGATCAAAGGATGCAGCAGAGTCAATCACAAATCCAGAAAGAATTGGTTGTGTATCCAAATATATTACTCTATTTTTAGTTATAAAAAAATCTATTCCAGTGGTACAATTTGTACTACTTTCATAATGTGATAAATCTTGAACTTGAAAAATGTTAGATCTAACCATATAAAACAAAATTATTAAAATAACATTAATTTCAGTAAAAAAAAGCTAATATCACATTTGTTGCAAATAAACGTAATACATACGAGTAATGTGATGTTAGCAGTGACATGATTGTCGATTTACCGACACCTTGTGCACCTAAACACCCAACGACTAGAAAGTCTTGTTGATCATACAAAAATTCTATTGAATTTTCACATAGTTGCATATTTTCATCCATGAATTTGATGCATGTACTCATTTCAGGGCATATGGAAAGCATACGAATCGCTGAAATATCATTTTGATATCTTAGGCTAATATTTCATTTGTCGTACGACAAATTTTTCAAGTTGACTGGCTACAGGATAGAGAAGTTCTAGAGTTTCTAGAACTTCCTCTTTTCTAGAAATCCTCTATCTTATAATGAATCAATACGCTTGAAAAATTTGTACGATAAATGAAATATTAGCCTACTATTACAATCAATAATATATAATTTCACACCTTATTGTTAATTTGTTAAATATGACGAAAAAGAAAACATTGATATATTCTCGTCTATATTTGAGACATCCTTTTAATCACGAATTCTTTGTTAAATTTGATACCAACTTTTTCAGCAAGAGACATTAATAATTTCCAATTTATAAGCAATTAAAAAAAAACAACTTTACACGAATTAAACTTCAAAATGGATAATAGAACTACTTTTTTATAATCAAATTTTAATTTTAAGTTTAGTTACAAAAATATATGATATAGAAGGAATTTGCAAAAAAATGATATTCTCGACATTTTTGTTAAAAAAAAACTTCGAATTACTCAGAAAATCTTACTAAAAAGACATTCAATAGTTTTGAGACTTACAGATTATTTTGTACATTAAATATAATAGATATTTTTCAGCATATTAACATCTTTCTAATATGATGCCTGATTGAGCATCAAGTTATTATTAAAAATTGCTTGTTAATTTAATTTAATTCGTAATATTATAGTAGTTTAATTGCGTTTATAAATCCGGAAAACCAATTCGGCATGCAGTTCGAATGATAACGCATATGTAAGCATGTACATATATAATATATATAGTGCCCGCCAAAAGTTCCGGGCCGATTAAATATCTCAGAAAATATGCATTTTTGAGAAAAATGTTTTTAAACAAAAATTATAGGGTTTAAAAAGATCTATTTAATGATCTTATCAGTTTGACCTTGGGTGGCGTCGCCAATGTTAAGTCAAAGTCACGTCGATTTTTTAAAAATTGGTCATCCTATTTTTGATTCCAGAATCTAATATCAATATCAAAAGCTTTTCAAAACATTACAATACAATTCATTTTTATTAAGTATTTTTCGAGTTATAACGCTTGAAAGTTACAGTACTACCATCATTAATATTATTACCCAAGATGTCCGACCGGCGACTAAGATCTCTTGAATATGGTTCATTGGAGATTGTTTCTTTTATTTTCACTTTTACGTAAAAATGAATTTTCAGTGCAAAAATGGAAATAAGAGAAACAATCTCCAATGACCTTGATTTCAACAAATGTTATCCAGGGCCCGAACAATATTCAAGAGGTCGTAGTCGTCGGTCGGACACCTTGGGTAATACTAATAATGGCGATACTGTAACTTTCAAGCGTTATATCGAAAAGAACTTAATAACAACGAACTTTACTCTAGTGCTTTGAAAAGTTGTTGACGTTGACTATTAGATTTTGGAATAAAAAATAGGGTGTCCAATTAAAAAAAATCGATGTGACCTTGACTTAATATTGGCGACGTCACCCAAGGTCAAACTGATAAGATCATTAAACAATTTTTTTAAACCTATAATTTTTGTTTAAAACATTTTTCTCAGAAATGCATACTTTCCAAGATATTTAGTTGGCCCGGAACTTTTGATATAATCACGTTGAATTATTTAAGCATTAAAGATCCAGCTTCGACCGTTATAGGCATTTAATTTTTAGTATTGATTGTGTTCTCACATTTGCAGTCTAAAATAAAGATTTTTAATATTGATTAAATATAAATTACTCACATTCTTGTATTTTTGATGCTGTTGAAGACATATCAGCATCTTTTCTATAAAAAGATGTTTATTATATCATATACAGAATGATTCAGAACGAGGGTAACAAATTATTAGTTTTTCATTGGCAGAACTAGTGCGCACTCAGTGCACTGTAAAGCCGTTGTACAGAAATCGACATAAAGATGTACGTTTAATACGAATATAGAAACAAATTAAACCGTAAAATATTCAATATATTTTATTCTGCTATTTGATAAAATACACATTGGGCATTTTATCAATTAAGATATTTCGTTTTTACATTTTGATTAGAATAATGTACAATAGCTTTAATGTGCAATGAGTGCGCACTAGTTCTGCCAATAAAAAATGCTATATAATAGATTGTTTGAAAAATAATTCTGAATAAAAATATAAATATAGATCCTGTTCTCAATACTTACACACAGGATGCACGGAATGTGTGTGTGTGTCACACCATTTAATTATCTCATTAAAACTATACTTGTGAAGAATCGGTTTTTTAAAACTGTGTAAGTAAATTCTATACATCAACATCAGCAGTTCAGAAACTGAACAAGGACCCAGACATTATCGTATTTCCAGCGGACAAAGGCAACGCGATAGTGATCATGAATCAGATTGCAGGATGAAGATATATAAAGTACCTGAGCAGAATAAGACTCAGTACTAAGTAAGACCCACCGCGTTCTACCGTCGTGACTCGTGAGATTGCCCTGTTGCCAGAGAGATGGGAAAAATTAGTAGAAAATGGAGGAAATTTTACTTTGATTAAGGTATTCATTCATCTTCCCTTCGAAACAAATCAATTTTGGAGACGAAAAAACGGCAGGAATTAAGTTCAACACATACATATATTATATACATGTAATAAGGCCTAATGTCAGAGTTTAACAAAATTTTCTTTTTGTTTTTTTCATTTACAAATATTCTATATGACCAATATATTTTACTTTTGTGAGTGAATGAAATGAGGACTTGATTCTCACTCACAAGCGAACGTTCCAAATTGCAAAAGCGATATCAAGAAACTAAACGCTATCAGTCGAAAGATCACGTTTGAAATAGATCCTGTAGATAGTCAAATTTTGGGATCCTGTAGATTCTGTATCCGATTTGGTACGAAACATATTTGGCCATTTTAACTTTGACACAAAATATCTCGAGAACAATACAATTTTGGAAAAAATGTTTCAAATAAAGGTTATAGGATTTGAAGAGGACCATTAGATGAGTTACTTGGATTTTGGGTTTAGGGTCCATTATGGGCCCAATAAGGCCGAGGTTAATTTTTTCTAAATTTTAACAAGTAACACTACCCAAGTGCCACTCCGGGATTGACTTCTACCTATGCAGATTTTGTAAAGAATCGAAAAATATTTGATACGTATTTTTTTATTTCGGCAGACATAATGTTTTAAGGGCTGAAAATAGGGGTTGAAATATTAAATTTTTTAATAAACGGGTGTATTTCCGAATAATGCTGTTATGCGATCTAGCTGTAATTTGGTATATTTATGTATTTTGATGTGCTTATTACGAATATGATAAAAAAAATTGTCGCCAAGGTCATTTTCAAGGTCAAAACTCAAAAAAACCTTAACGTATATGAATTGCTACTGTATGAAACGTGTATGAATTGCTACTGTATGAAACGTGTATGAATTGCTACTGTATTTCACTTGTTTTTTTTCTCCGTGTACATTAAAATTAATATATTAGAGTTGAAAACAAGTGACTGACTTCAGAATAAGATATTAGAAATTGCTCTTCTGGTAAGAATTTAATCAAAATTTTTGGGCGATTTTTTAGGGTTTTTTTGAGACGCACGCACGCACGCACGCAAATCAGGATATCAAATTATTTGATAAAACAACTATAGTTATAACATCATATTTTGAGAAAATACAGGGAGGCTCTAGAAATCTAGAAACACCCAGATAACTTAAATAGAGATATGAGAATTATAACGTAAGTAAAATATAGCTCTTCCCCCATTCCCCTCCCTCCTTAACAGAGTTTATATAAGAGAAATCTCCCAAGGAACAGTTCAGTATCTGTGCACTCCTTGCTCTGATGAAGTGAACAGCAAGGTTCACGAAACGTTGGCATTAGCAATAGATCATGATACAGCGATAAACCCTCTTTGGTATCTCTGAAGAAAATACCAATGAAAATCTTAAAAGTGTTATCAAATTCTACGTCGTAGAAATTCTGTTAGGGGCTGTTAACAATTAAAGGAATAGGGAACAGAGAATAAAAATTTCAACCTATCAGAAACTGTATATTCCACACAGTACATAGCTTTTGATAACTGAAATTCTTATATTCTCTGTTCTCAATTCCTTTGATTGTGCGTAATCCCTTAGCATCACAAATCGGATTTGGACAAAAATAAAGACGCACACACTAATTTGAAATGGTGAACAGCGAATGGTCACCTTAAAATGTTGAGCATAAAATTAAAATTATATTGTTTTTAGCAGAAACAAAAAATATGGCAAACACACTCGGAGACGTTTCTACTCACTCCGTGCAGTTATGCCATGCATTATATGAAATTTTGTGTCAAAAAGTAGTCAAATACAAAAATGTTTCTAAGAAGTTGTGAAGTAAAACATAATAACATTCTATTGAATGTTATTCATTAGAGACAAGTTTCCGTTTGAAAATTAATTCAATACTAGTTCCGTGCCACTTTTGTTAAAAATAAAAATGTGTTATATATAAAACAAATGGTATGATATTTCGCATGCAACACTTTGCATTTCACAAACTGACATGTGCACTTTCATGTCTGTCCAATTCCTACTCATAATGCCACACAACCGAATTTCCACGAAGCACAAAATTTATGTTTACATAGTTAAAAAATCAATACTCGACAAATATAATTTTAATAAATAATTAAATGATATATTTCGTGTGACATCCTGTAGTTGTAGCAATTTTTAAATCAAACTCACGGGCTAAGTTTTGTGAAGATACATATATGTATATATACTTGAGTTCCATTTGTTAAAAACTAAAAATATTACGTCCTTTTTTGGAATTTATTTTTAAAAGTAGTTTTATACAATTAGTGCAATTTAAATGCTTTATATATCATTTTTATATATCATTTTTAAGGACACATTCTTGGAATTAAATTTGACGTCAATTATTGGTATCAAATATTTTATACAGATAATATATGTATTATTTAAAAAATGTTATTTTTATGGAATTATAACTTGGCGCTAGATTTTGATATCCAATCTTTTACACAAATGATATATGTATATCACTTAAATTTTTTTTAATTTGATACTATAGTTTTTTGTTCTAATAGCACACCTATAGCTCGAGTTGAAAAATGTAAGTTTTTAATTTTTTTTTCGATTTTGGTATAAAGTCTATTGCAGCACTATCAAATTTTGCGTCTACTTTAATCCTGTAAAAGGATTTTTTATTCCGTTCAGTAAATTCGGAGATTTATATCAATTTGCAAAGTCCTGACAATTTGGTCACTCTAGTATCCAGGCGACCAATCATAGAAGATAACATACTGTTTTACACTTTTTACTGTAATTGGTCGATTCGCTTACATCTTATTGCTTTATGTTTTTCTATGTGTTTCTGGCTTAATACCTTCCACTTTTTTTATTTTTTAAATAAAATTGTTTAACATGTACATTAATCATCTAAATATGAGAAATCAATTACGGTCAAAATTAAACTGTACATATACCATTTAAAAAAACTATGTTAACCTACATAATTCGAAAAAGCCACGAGTATAAAAAAAATGTTTACGTGCACTTTGTAGCTGATTCGGAGTCGTACAAATTTCTCTTATTGAACTTTCTTGTAATTTCAATCAGGTGCGAGATATTTGCTCCGACATTTACGGACGAACACCCTGTATATGTATTTCAAATAAATTTTATCTCAGAAATATGATTGTGCAATTAATTACTTTCGAATTTTCAACACAATCAATCTCAAATAATCTCCCCAAATTTATTAATTAGACCGTTAATCTGATGTTACTAGCATCTTAAAAACTGTAAAGAACTATTGCGAAATTGGGAAAAATACTACCTCGGTCAGAATTTGAACCCGGAATTTCATATTTCATACAGTTGTTTTTACCGATTGTCTACCGAGACCTTGGTAATATTCTTCGCAATAATTATAAATCAAATGTAAATCAATCTTTTTCTTTGTTGGTCCTAATAGTAACAAAATTACCTATGTTTTTCTGTAATGATAACAGAAAAGATGTAATGATAATTGAAAAGTTACTTTTTGTGTAAGTATGACTAATTTGTTACTTTTTAGAGCCGATCATTTGTAATGGTAACTAGTTATTCTTGAAATAAAAAACTGTAACTAGTTAATTTTGCAAAATAACTTTCTCAATTCTGATACACATTCCTCTCCGCCCGCATCGCTTAATAAAGTTATTCCACTTGATTGTTAAATCCGAAAATATCTGGTCGTATTATATATAACAGATACATAACAGATGAACGTATGATTTAATTGTTATAATTATTTAATAGTACTATACTTGTGACCATTACGTTGACTTGGAGAAACAGCCCTATTTTCTCCTTCTCTAGTCTTCAATATAAATGTTGGTCGTTCTACGATCTTAATCAGATTCTTGTTTTCTCCATCTTTAATCTCCGAATCCTTTGACATCGTTGGTAACATCTTTTTCACGCTTGTATATTGCTGTAATACAATAAAGTGTATACGTATGCATGCATGCATGCACGCGCGCGCACACACACACACACAAATGCGCGCGCACACATTTCACTTTTTTATTATAAAAAAGGGAGGAACACTGTGCAAGTCGCAGAAAAAATTTGTCATGTTTATAGAGAGGATGCTCTAACTCACAGGTTCCCAACGTGGACGTTATCACCCCCTGGTGGGCGCTGAGGAGATCTAGGCTGGTATTCATAATCGATTCTTATTTCAAGACAGTCTTAAGTAATGTCTTAAAACGCTAATGCAGTCCTCACTATGGAGGACCTAATGAAGCAAATTTGATTTCAAAAGAGGCCTGTGAAAATCATTTATCTCGGTCTTTTTACCGAGAAATCAGAAGTTCTATACCGATAGAATAATGGCTTTTCCCGAAAAATGGCAAAGTCATCGATCAAAACCGCATATATTTAGTTTAATAAAAAGTTTGTAAACAATTTAAAAAATATGTTTCAATTATGTTCCAACTTCTAAAAAGACTTTTTCCCTAACCCAATATATATTATATATAAATAGATGTATAAATAAAAATGGGTCATCCTTATATACAGAGTGTTTGGAAAATAATGATAAATCTTTCGCGTAGGGGCAGAATGAACTGAGAAGAAAAGTCCTCTACCATTTTGCAATAGTTTTACCAAGATATTAATTGCTAAAAATTGCAGAAAATTGGTCTTCAATATAATTTTTTACTCAATACTATCAACTTTACAGAAAAACTGTAAAAGACAAAAATTGTTTATTTTCTTCTCATAGAACTCTATGAATTTTTTCAGAATTTTTTATCAACTTTTTAGTACTGCATTTTCTTATTTTTACCATCATGAGAAAATACACATTTAAAAAATTCTAAAAAAATTCTTAGAGCTCTACGAGAAGAAAATAAACAATTTTTTGTCTTTTGCAGTTTTTTTTTGTAAAGTTGATAGTAAAAAATTATTGAAGACCAATTTTCGGCAATTTTTAGCAATTAATATCTTGTTAACTATTGCTAAAATTGCAAAATAGTAAAAAACTTTTTTCTCATTTTAGTCCATTCTGCCCCTATGCAAAAGATTTATCATTATTTTCCAAATACCCTATATATATATACAGGGTGATTTTTTTAACCTGAAACTTTCAAATATCTCGA